GCAGATAATGTGTAAATAAAAATAAGGAAATAGTAATTTCGTCTTGTTTAAATAGCGGTGCTAAATGAAACGGAACGAGATTAATTGAAAATGGAGAGAAAATTTCGAGTGTGCTTTGACAAGCATGGCGAGTGTTTTACACATTTGGAATGAGTTGTTCTTTTAATCGCCGAAANAACTTATGGACTGACCTGATATATCGGCTAGTTGGGGACAACCCAACAACTTGCTTTTACAATTTTACACATTATGCATAACAGCAGATACACAGCTGCCAATACCTGCTTATATAGTTTAGAAACAGGTATAAACATCTACTGAAACCCTATGTATAGCAAATAAAGACCCACAATTTCCATAAATAATCAGGCTATATTTTTGGAAATATTTCCAAAAATATAGCCCAATTATTTACAGCAATTGTGGGTGTCTATTAGATACAGGTTATGTGTAGAACATAAAATTGATTAGTCTGTGTCTTAGAATGGTTTATAGCCTGCAAGGATATTTTTTCCAGATACTTAGAATGATGTATTAATTCTGAAAAGATATTGTTATTTGGTTTATTTTAAATTTTATTGAACATCATAAAAGAATACAATAATAAAAGATTCAGTCTCATTATTTAGGGGGAAACATTAATAAATTAGATATCTGAAAATAACATAAGTATAGATTAAAGGAAAATAACTAAATACTTGCCTTTAATATTAGTTTTTATTCTCAGCATATGAAAAAAACAAATGCTTGTTATAATTGTGTTTCATTTTAAAAATGCATGAAGTCTAAATTGAAAAAATATTTTATTGAATTTCTGGCAAATAATATCACAATAGGAAAATATTTTACAAAATCCTTCTTTTAAAAAAGTTAGAGGATTGTAAATTATCTCATCAAAGTCTAAGAAAAAATTACAGTAATAAAAACTGATAAATATAATTTCATATTTTTAATTAAAAGCTAAAATAACTTATTATTATTTTTACAGCAATAATTCAAACATATATAAAATAAATCCAATATTCTATTTTGAGAAATATCTGAGCAGTGGAAGTAATGATTCTGTAATTTAATTGTAAACAATAAAGAAAGATTTCTACTTGAATTAATAAAAAAAAGTTATTGGAATCATGTGATAAATGTATAATTTTATACCAGCATCTTTGAAAAAGTGAAGTGTTTTGAAAACACATTAAAGAACATGGCATGCATTGAAGAACTCATTCAACAGATTAATTTATGATATTGAAACAGAGGCAACCTTACATAAAAGCAAAATATTTGCCTTAAAATAAAGACCTTGCAAATTTGTAGTATATTTTAGTAGTTAAATTATCACATTGGTAATTATTGAATATATAATTGTATTGGTATCTATTGCATCTGCAGAATGATCAATTTCAAATTAAAATTGATCAAAAAGTAACTCCAATGAATAATGTGTCAATAGTGACTTTCTTCACTTTTGATCTTGCCCATTGAAAAAGATATAGCAGCTAGAAGCAGGAAAGCAGTTTTATAGATGAATTTCTCTAAATCTATTGAATTTTCCAATTCATTGTAAAACTATTGTACACATTTTTATTATTTTTATGGTGTGTTATACTGTCTATTTATATATTAAAAATGTTCACATTATAGATGGAAATAAACTACCCTCCAGTTTTATTGCTCTTTTAATGGGCCTTAATTAAAAATAAGTTTTGCCTAGAGCCACTTCTGTATTAAAATACATTTTATTGGGATTGAACTTGTCATATTGCATCATCCATTGTATTCATTACACAGAAGTTACAGAATTGTGAGGTATGTAACGTGATTATATTAATATGCATTAATAAATGAAAACAAAGAACAGCAAATGTTGATTAATCTTATGTTGCTGCAGCATTATACAAGAGTTACAAATTTTTCACAAATTATAACAGGTAAAAAACATGAGTTTCCCATTTCATGCAAAACTGTAATCATGCACCAACGGAATAAAAATGAACCATAACATCAGTAAGAAAAACTAAGTTCAAAGTGATTCTTCAGATGGAAAAGTGTTGGAGAGTTTTTTGGTTTACCTTTGATATTTTTTAGTGGAATTTTTATAACATGAATGTTTCATTATATTTGAAACATTGTGATACATTGAAATGCTTGACGGAAGTCATTCAGTAGGAAAGTATACTATGGTCTTCTCAGCAGGGCAGCATTCTCTTTCATAATAATGCCCCTGTCTACATATCATATTATATATAAAGAACTCAAGACATTTTTGGTGGAAATTGTCAATCATTCTCCATCAATATATCTGGCTCTCAATGAATTTTTTACTTCTTTCATTCTTGAAAAATCATTTGGTTAGATGTCATTTCTCATTAAATGAAGAGGCAAAACATATACTGTATTGATAGCATGATTAAACCTTAATGGTCAAAAACTTTATATTTAAAAGAAGATATAAATTCATAAACAATCAAAAACCTTTAAAATCCAGTAACAAAACTACGCATTCCAATTTGGAATTTAGTTGGTTTAAAACCTGAAGCAGACCTTGGTCAAGGTCAAAAATGTTCATTTAGATGTTTTTATTAAAATTTTGTTACTGGATTTTAAACATTCTTTATTATTTGTGATTTGTTCCAGTAATTTGGAAAGAAGCTAATTTTAATAGATAAATTCCTTACACAAGTACAGTAAGTGTCTGACTGCTATTGGTGACTATGCTGAAAAATCATGTTATGGTTGAAATTTCAATATATATAATCATTTGTATGCAATGAAGATATTGCATACTAAGTATAGATATTTGTAACTTACTTTCTGATCTATTATATCCAATATTTTTTTTTAATTCTAACATTTTTATCATTTAAAAAGTGACCATCTTCACGTGTTAAAATATATTCATTTTTACATTGATACATGTCTGAATCATTATTATAATTTTATTCTTTAGACTTTGAAGTGATAATTTGCAATTATTTAATTCTTTTTAAAGAGATTTATGGAAATCCTTTCTTGTTTGTCTTCAATTGTCCAAAATCCAATAAAATATATCTAGAATTAGTCTTAAGTCTGTTGTGAAAGATGTTGATAAGTTTTGTATAAAATATTTGATGAACACTAAATTTCATTGTAAATAAGATTAGTCCAAATTTTTATTGAACATTTTGCTTGAAGAAATATTCAGCATAAATTAGAGAAGATATTCCAATAAATGCTAAAGATAATTATTACATTACTTGTTATAATTCTGGATAAGATATAGTAAGTTTTCAATCAGTGATCAATAGAAGTAAATATGCAACTTTTTGACTTCCTGAACAATATTGAAAAATATGGATAAAATATTATCACTTGAAAGAATTTTTTTGTTATTTATGGTAGTAAACTAGTTAAAGAATTTCATTTTTCGTGAGAAGCCAGATCAAAGAAAAATATATGTATTAAACTTTATTCATATACACAAACTTCCTCAATTTACATAATTTATTTTTAGCATTAAGAATATATTTAATTTTACCTGTTTCTGCAACAACAGTCAAAAACTAAAAATAATTTAAAATTTTGGGGGCAAGTTGCAAGTAAGCTTTGTTATTTCCAAGTAACTAAAAGTTTAAATATATCTGTGCAATAAATAGTTACTAAATTTCTGTTTGAAAAAATTTCTAAAGACTGATTTTTAAGAAGTACTTTTTTTATTTATACAGTCAAATGTTATTAATGTGGCTAATATAAATAGTTCCATTTATCATTTAAAATTTATTCCAGATAAATTATTTAATTTTATGATTTATAACTGTATTTGCTTCAGTGATATGTATATTAGATTTATAACTTTATTTAGAGTAATAGTTCTACAGTTTAAAAGAACAAAATAATACATTACAAAATTCTTGATTAATTTGATTTGTTATAAAATGTTTAAAATCTGATAATTACAGAAATTACTTTTCTGAATATTCTGGTTGTTTAACCTAATAGTAAGTTAGTGTTAAAAACAATAATTAACTTCCTTCCAGGTATATATCAAATTATATGGTTTGTATGAAATTAATCAAATTGTTTTATATCAAAATTCAAGATTACCAGATTATAATTAAATATAGTGTACCCTTCATTAGAAATGAATCACTTTTAATTAATTGTAACATATTAAGAAAATTCTTAAAGGTTGATATCACCAATATCATTCATATTTCCCATTGGCACATTAACCTCTTTGTTGAAGGGAAAATAAATACTGATTGTTGACCTTGGCCTGTTCGGCTGATTATTTCAGGTTTTGTCCCGTATAGGAAGTGATTCAAACCTCAATCATAATACTTATAATTATTATTACACGTTATATATTTCATCATAAAATAATTTCAGCTTAGTAACCATAAATTTAATTCAGCTATTATTATCTGATTATTTTAATTTTTTCAGATGATATTGAATTTTGAGAACAAAATATTTTATTAGATACACAGTTTTATTTATTTCTATTCTGTTAGTATAAAAAAAAAATCCATAATATTTTTGTTTATTTCATACTGAAAATCCTTATTTATAAAAACACTGTACTTAACAGAACTAATTTGTAAATTTAAATCTATGAGAGTTTTTGTGAAATAAACTACAGTATTGTCATGATTTTTTAGATTTTTAATTTTTTTTAGAAAATGTATAAGTTTTTAATTTTAAATTGCATTTGCTTTATTTAAAGTAATAGTTTAATAAACAGTTTAAAATTAAATCTAAAAGTTTTTAAAATATTCAGGTAAATGAAGTTTTAACTCCTGGAATGTAAAACTGTTTATTCATTAGAAAGAATGTTTATGCAAAGTAAATTTTCATATTTCATAAAGATCATTGAAGTAATAAACTGTCAAATATTAAGAATAATAATAATAATAAATTACAAATTCTATTTATTTTATAGAAAATTTAATTTTTAATAATCATTTGTGATTATTGGTATATATTTAGGAATTTAAAAAATTTTTATTTCCTGATTTTTTTAGGTCGTTACTAGAAATCATACAGAAATTCGAGGGACATGTACAGGCTATGTTATAGCTTTTGATAAACATTGGAATCTTGCCATGAGAGATGTAGATGAACTGTATAAGAAATCAACTAAACTTAAAACTCCAATTCTTAGGAATTTTAATACAAATGACTTTTTTGCATTTCAACAATTTGATTCTGAAACACTTGAAAATTCTGAAGAAGATGCATCATTCACATCACTTTCTTTTCATCCAGTTTCATGTTTTGTATCTGGAAAATGTATTTGCACAGTCGATGCAGAAACAAAAATAAAAAAGAATAAAGAAATTAAACAGATGGTGCAAGATGCACATACTGATATTAGTTTAGATACATCTACAAGCAATACTGAAAACTTGAAAACTCTTACAACAGACAATGATGCCAGTAATGAAAGAGTAAATAAACTTAGTGAAAATTTAGACTTTTTTGAAACTTGTGAAAAAGACAGTGTTACTATGACTATAAAAGAACATCCAAGAAAGAAAAAGAGTAAGAAAAAGTTTGATACATGTAAGAGACATTTGAATCAAGTCTTTATTCGAGGTGATAATATTGTATTGGTTCAAATACTTGAGTGTTCCTAACATTTAGTTCATAAGAATGGAAGTTTATTCCATCAGACTCTTTTCATATGTATTGTAATTATAAATCAGTAAATTTGTAACATTTTATGTCACTTTGATGTAAGTGTATATAAAATGTCATATGATAATTTTTTTAAAATGATGATTTTAAACAAATATGATAATGTACAAAATAAAAACTTATTTTAACTTCATAAAATCTAACTAGTGAGCTTTTTGTTTTAAATATTTTCAGTTATTAAAATATATTAAAATAAACATAATTTAACAAATTAAAACTAAAATCAATATTTAGAAATATTAACAATAAAACAATTTTCAAGAAATTTTTTAAATAGAAAGATGATATCATTATAAATATTATCTAAAAGAACACCATAACAGCACAGGTTACAAAAAAATTAAAAAAACAAAACAAAAAAATTAAAAAAATAAAACTTTGATTCATGTAATTTATGAAAAATATTTTTCTTAAATTGATACTTAATGCTAATAAGTAATTTTAGGTAATAATGTATAATAAAAATCATTTATAAATTATAAAATTTGATAAATACTTGTGCACTTATTCACTTNAAAAAAAAAAAAAAAAAAACTATCTTAGAAAAATTTATACACCAACAATTTTTATTTACTGAGATTATTTTTGGATTTATTATTTACTATTTTAAGGGCAAATAATAAATTCAAAAATAATGTTAGTAAACAAAAATTTGTTTTAAATTTCTTTTCAAATGGTAATAATTTTCAAATCAAATCCAGGAGAGAATTTATTGTAATGACGATTAAAAAATGAGTTATGTATGATTTGTGGTAATAATTAGAGTGAATTACAGTAGATCTGCAAAAGAGATTAAATGACATTATGTAATGATAATCTTTGTTTCTGATCATTAACTAAATTCATTTAGAAGTGTAATAAAATTATTTGAAAATCACATAATGTTTGTTTCAGAATAATTTGACTGGAGACAAATGCTTTTGCATTGTGACTGATGTAAGATGATGAAACAGCTTTTAAAATATGAAATTTAATTTAAAAATTTAAATTATCCAAGATCAAAAATACTATTTTAAAACTTCAGTTTTAAAATAGTATTTTGGATCTTGGATAATTTATTTTTTATTTATTAATTATTAATAGTATTTTGGATCTTGGATAATCTATTTTAAAACTGAAGTTTTACAAAAATACTATTTTAAAACTTCAGTTTTAAAATAGTATTATTTTCAATCTGATTATTTGTTGAAATATTTTTTTGATAAAAATGAAGATAATTTTATCAATTTAAATTATATTCTTTTTTTTCATTAAACATTAAATTCACTATCGTTCTTGCATAATATATTATATATTATTTGTATTAGTAATTGATAATCTTATTTTATAGATTATTTTTTCAACGCGCAAACCAAGACGAATAAACCGAGTGATTTTAAGGTAATTTATACTATAGATAAGCCATCAATAAACGGACATATCTTTATAAATAGTAAATCTAACTCAGCGGTGACGTAATATGCATTGCATGCGTATTATCCTTTAAGCAGTCATGCGCAATCTACCTCTGGTGCCACGGACGGACATTGGCCCAGTTTTGTGTCAACAGGTCGTAGACCTCGAGAGTGTTTCGCCGTTCCACCGGATTGCGTGAACGTTAATTTCCGAATTTTTAATCTTTTTTTTTTTTCTTAAATATTTCTCTAGTACTCGAACGAGTTTTTTCCCCTTTAATAATCGCACCTCACTGTTTGTAACTTCACGTTTTTAAATCTTTACCAAACGACAGGAATAAGAAGTGTCTATCCTATTAACTGCACATTTCTGAAAACAGTGAACTATTTTAACCTTTTGCTTACAGAAGTCGAAGTCGATTTTAGGAAAACGAATGGAAATCTTATAAACAAACTTTAAATAATAGTTTTTAAAAAATGTCTTTGAAGTTTCTCTAATGTTTGGTGGATAGTTCGGAGCGGGTGAAATTCTTGTTCTCCAATTAAGTGACCATCATTGTTGATTAACAATGCTACTTGTGGTAGGAAAGGTCGATGACTCGCTCTACCCCAAACACAAGAGATTTCTCTAGAGGCAACAAAATTACTTCGATTGTCGATAGAGGGAGTCACTCATCTATCCCCTCTTCTCTTTTACTACCTCCATCATTTACACTTCTAGCAAGTTTCTTCAGATTAATTGAAACAATACTTTAATCAATTCAAATATATTTTTAAATATAGAATAATATATATATTGAATAGACAAACATGCATTTGAATTGATAACATGGGGAATGTTAGGAGTGATGTAGACATTTCCGATCGATATTACTAATTTTTTTTCTTTTTTTAGAAAGTTTTAAAATGTTATATTTAATCGGAAATCGATCGATCGCAATTAGAAATGATGAATCATATATTTTATTAATAAAATTAATTTTTTTTAAAGTGAAGAAACGTGTCTGAGATTACGTTACTGGGCAAATCAGAAACAGTTGCACAATTTAGAAAGAATTTTTTCAACCTTCAACGTAAGAACTGTAGACGAGTAAAAAAAAAAATATATATATATATATATATAGTGGTTTTAAAATGTAGGTCTTGCATATTTTTCCGAAAGGCATTAAAATAAGAAATAAACAATTTATAGCAATTTTTATTATCTTGACTGATAAACTTATCTTTATTCGTATCGCTTGGGTTTCTTTTATATAATTTTTACTTTAATAATATTTTGTTTGTTTGTTGCTATTTCGAGAAACGATTGCCATTTCAATCAACGATTAGCTTTGAAAAGATGGGAAAACAAATATATTAAGTGCAGATAATGTGTAAATAAAAATAAGGAAATAGTAATTTCGTCTTGTTTAAATAGCGGTGCTAAATGAAACGGAACGAGATTAATTGAAAATGGAGAGAAAATTTCGAGTGTGCTTTGACAAGCATGGCGAGTGTTTTACACATTTGGAATGAGTTGTTCTTTTAATCGCCGAAAGGTGACTGGTATACGTGAACATTTGTGTTTTAGATTGAATTTACTTCAGTTGTCAAGACTGTCTGACATCAGCAAAACTAAACTGTCAGGAAACATTCTATTAATATCTCTCAATTGATGGGCGTTTAGGATAAGAATGTCTAACTCATCTCTCCACTCCCGACATCTTTGCTTTTATCTCAATTATATAAATTAAATTTATCGAAATATAATCTGATTTTCCCTCTGTTTAAGGAAAGTGAAAGTCGCGTCTGCAGTCGACCATTTTCTTTCCGATTTCTGGCGCCTCTCAACAGGTGGTGACTCTATGAATCACGGTTACCAATTAAGAAACCACGCTGTTACTTCGTTATAAGAAAAAAAACTACAATACTATCGAGAAGACAAAATAACAAGATTTCTTTAAAAATGAGCACTCATTGTTCTAATGGAAATAACGATCGTATAGCAGGAATACGGTGAAACTTAATAAAGTTTTAGTTCGTACGTTACGTTTATTTTCATATTATGAGCACAGGCTATTATAATATTTATTAAAACCAAACTGAACGAAATATTATACAAAAAATTAAATTAAGGTAAAGTAAACTGTAATAAGCACTAAGGGATAATCAAAAGCCACTGTATGGCTTATGATGTAGGTACACGGTGACATTTTCACCACACTAATAAATACGAACACCGATGCGATAGTTAATTAGAATGCTATTTTTGAGAAATGTATCAAAGTTCAAGTATTCTTTAATGCAGTTTTTTCCAGCTGTTATGAATTCTAGTCACCATTTTTCTCTTTGAATCACGTTATTCTAATCGAGCAAATTATAATTCCGCTTCTATTGTTTTTAGTCTGTCGATAACGTCTGTCAAAAAAGTAGTAGTTTACCTTTGTCGGCGTTCTTGTTTCCTCGCGTTAAAACTTATCGCTTAGAAACGAAATACCTGTAGTAATTTGTTTTTCTACCTTCCCTCCAAAAGGTTAGTTCTCGAAGAACTAATATCCCACCCGTATTTAAGTATCAAACCCACTCAAATATCCTACGCAGGCAAGAGCTACTTATTTAGGAATTGGTAGGAAATCAGCCATTAAGTTAAACACCTAGCTTAACAATTCCAAGTATTTTTACCGTTAAGATTGAATTAAAATGTTCAATGCATTGTTTATTTAAGTGTGAATTTATGCCCTTAACTTGTTCTGCTATTTATAGATGTTGAAACCATTTTTAAAATTTGATCTTAGCATCCACCGAAGACGAATCCCGACCGTAAAATACGATAACATCAAGAGTTGGTTTTTCCACTTCCTGTTGAGTTCTTTTTGAAATGACTTCTACGAAAACGTATACTTTTCTTCGGTTACATAATATACAGAAGAAGTATATTGGCACTAAGATAAAACTGGATTCGTTAAAAACAATAATAATTCTACCTGCTCTTTTATTATATTTATCGTCGACTGATTTTAGAATGCGTAAAGAAAACATGTTTATATAAATCGGTTATAAAATTAATTCATAAAGTTAACAATTTCATAAAAATCCGGTCCTTACGCGTTATTTTTTGTTTAAAAAAAGCTAAAATTCATTGACATTCCGACGGCGCACATTACGCTAAAATTATATAAAAGTATTTCCGTATATAATATAAATGATACTCCCGGAAATATATTAGCGTAAATGTCACTACATTCCAGATTTCTGAAAGTGGACAGATGAGAAGCGAAGCTTTTCGATCATCTAAAAATTGGTTTAATTTTTACCCCCCCCCCGTCTTGTTTCTAGTCACCGCGACGCATGACTGCTTTCAAAAATTCCAGCATTCTTATATTCATTCTCGGTCACCCGATAGGGCCCAAAAATTATTATTTTTCGTACTTTAGCCTGGGGCAAGCGGTAACTTCCAAAAAACTATGGAGTTATAAGTTTCTTCTCGTCCCGGATGCGCAATTGCTTGGGAAAATTTTTAATCGCAACTCGATTACGCGATCGATTTGCTTTAAAAATCGCGGCACGAAGTCGACTTTATTCTGATTTATGCAAAGTCGATGGTTGACGAGGATCGAAGGATCGGAAACAAAGATCGACACCCTCTGACCCGCGAGCTAGCGCTACTTTCCCAACGTCAGAGCAATCGCAGCAACGCCCGCGGCGATTTTTCTCCGGTCATTGAACTCAGGTGAGAAGCGAGTCCTGCGGGCTTTAAACGGTAGAGCCGAACTTAAAACGGCCTCTCTCT